TTTGAAGATGATTACATGACGTTTACCTACTGCCTAAGTTTTTGTCGAGAACATAAATCAGATCACGTAGCTTTGAAGGTAAACCTACATGCAGTATAACACGCAGTATAATGCTTGTTTACCATCATTCAACTTATTTTCTCGAAGAATGCCTCCATGTGTGTCTGTGGATACCTGCTCGACCTGTTTGCACCTAGTGACCAGGTGCACATTTCCAAATGTAACATGCCCTGTCGCGATGATTCAACCAAAAATTGTGGCGCTACTCAAGCCTTTTCAGTCTACAAAGGTTTGCTGGCTAGATGGTCATAATTTTATCGTACGTTCTCATCGTTATAACAAATATTACAAAGAATCTTTTTTTAAATATTTTAGATTGTTTTTTTTTAAAGTTTCATGAGTTGTTAAAAAGAAATTGTAAATTAAGTAGGGAAATATTTTGTGCAAGAGGTTATTTTATCATCTGTATAATTCAATACTACATGAATTTCATTTTTTAAAAGTTCATCGCAAACTTTCAAATTTAGAAACCAATCACATTTTTTGAAAAAAAACATTTGGCTATAAATGACTAAAAATCGCTTAGTTAATTCAGATAATAAGATTTTTATTTATTTATTTAAAATATTTTGAAATTATTTTTCCCTCACATTCCAAGCATTCTCCTATTACCGAAGCAAGTTAATCGAGACATCCAGTCATTTTTGTATGAACAACTTGTTGGCAAAATTTTGTCGGCCTGGAATGTGTGATGATGGATGGACTGGTTTCTTTTGCGATAAACGAGGTGAGAGATCTTGAATTTTTTATTTTTATTCCTATTTAAAATTAAACATTCATTTGAAATCATATTTATCACTTTAGTGGCTTTAAATCATTTTATAACTAAAAAAAACGTTTTCTTAATTTCAAATCATTTTATCATTTGAAATGATTTTTCTTAACTCCAAATCATTTGAGAATACTTTTCTTTTACTTCAAATCATTTTTTCAAACTTCAAATCAAATCTAATCACGCTTTATCTATTTCATAATTACTTTTGTCGTAATTCTGTCAACTAGGTGTAAAACAAAACAGCCGTAGTAGTTTTAAAAAATTGTCAACGCATATTAAATTTCAAATTTTATAACTTGGTAGTTTCACCGAACTAGCTAGCCAAACATGAAACGTATCTTCAGATCATTCCATTTTAATAAATCTATTTTGTTAGATCTGACTTTATGAATCTAAAAAAATAATAAAACAAGATGTCTGATTCTATTCGTCATTAATTTTTCTTACTTTATGAAGAAAGTTTCTTATTTTTAAAAATTAAAAATAGTTCAAAATTCAAAATTATCAGACTGTTCGAAGTTGAATGGACTCTGTGATCCCCTTACTCAGTGTATCGGTGTTATTGTTAATGGTCAGCAGAGAAATGAATGTCGTTCAACCACACAAGCCAGTAAACTAGGTAATTGTCATTCTACTCGATCGATTTTGAAAAATGTTTAGTTTGATATTGTTTTGTTTTGGAATAATTTTTAATAAAAAAGTTATTGAAATTTGAAAATTTGATTTATATTTTTTATTCTATTGCCGAAAAAACAAGCTAGAATTGAATATATTTTTTGAGATACGTAATAGACATATTTTTACATAATAATGGCCTATTTTGAGATGTTTTAATGCAATAATAAAAATTTAATGAGTTAAGTACTAAAAAAATTGGTTCGACATGCTCTGGTCCCACCTACATCTCTGTTTTAAGATAGAAATTTCGAAGTTGAATCAAATTTTTATAAAAATAAACTTAAAAAAAACTTTATTTTTTCTAATTGGATGAATTTAAATTTTCAGTTTCGTGGAAACCGATGGCTATGATAAGCTCGGCTATTGGCTTGCTCATAATTAGCATCGCTGTTCTTCAGTTTTATTTGCACAGACGAAAACTTCAAAAGCGTTCCCATGTTAGAGCAAGCGGGGTTAGAGCATTTTCTGTGTACAATTAATTAGTATACTACATATTTCAAATTAGTTATTCAGAATAACGGACGGTGTTTATCGAAATGTTTTTAAAGTTTCTTCAAATTTTAAAATAATTTCAAAATGAAATAAACCAACAATTTATGTAAAAGGTTTCTAATTAATTTCATCTTAAATTATCAATCTCAAACGTACGAATGAAACTTAAATTATTTTCAGTCTCTTCCAAAAAAGCTCGAGCAGAGTTACCTGCAATAAAAATCAAAGGCCCTCCTATTGCAGCTTCTACAAAAATATTTCAAAATAAAAACAAAGAATTTCCTAAATCTCCCCCTACTTTTTCAAAAAAGGCAGCAGCAAAAGTACGAACAAATCCTCTAAAGGAATCTTCAGTTCAAGCTACATCACTTAAGTCCACGAGTTCCACAAAACTGTCCACTGTGAATACTAAAAAAAGTACTAGCAAAAATGCTCAAAGTTCTATTTCCTTACCTCCTAAAACTTTACATTGAACGGCAGATTTTCTAAAAACTTTTGTTAAGAAATTGATTTCTTCTTTTGATTCTATGAAATTTGAAATTTTTAATGGTGAAGATGTTTTAAGGACGATATTTTCGATCGGAAAAAACTTTTAATATTTTTTTTTGTAAGTGAGTTTAATTCGCGAATTTCATTCAGTTATTTTGGTAAATTTTGCCTGCAAATCCATTTCATATTTGAGTCATTTCAAGACTGGTCTAGCTAATAATTTTTTCTCAAATGATTTTTATAACTTCAATTTTGTTGCTATCAATGATTTAATTATTTAGCGTTAATATTACCGTTCGCATATGTATACATTTCATTTGTTAATAATTAAATTTTATTTATTTACCAAAAATGTTATATTGAAAAAAATATTAAATTTGAATTTTTTGAATCTAAAAAAAGACTCATAAAACTTAAACCAAAAAATGACGTATGGAGGATCCAGGCGGAAATAAACAGGAATGTAACGGGAATTCGCAAACTAATAGGTCACAGCCGAAATCTCCGGATCAACCGCTGGCATCGGGGATGCTGTTTTATTTTACAAAATTGTAATCCTGAATATCTGATTTGGTAAATTCGATTTGCTCGCCAGAGTGAAGTATCGTCTTTTTTTCCCCGCTGTAGTGACAGACAAATTTTTGTTGTTGAATGCTTTTTTTAAATCTGTAAAAAAACTTAAAGCTTAAAAGATTAAAAATTTGAAAAATTAATTAACAATTTTGAGATAATTTAATGGAAAAAGGATATAGAAAACAAACCGGCTTTTTTTATTCCTATATAAATTTATTCAAGTGATGAAGGGACTTTCATTGCTAATTTCCATTGCATTATTAATCATTTTAAAAAATTTTGAGACAATTAAGCTGGAAAGGGTTTCAAATTCAAATAGTTCACCTCATAACTTTAATAAAGTTTACATAATACTGAAAGAAAACTTAAACCTATATTTATTTCACAAACTGTGATAATTTTAATTAAGTTTAATTAAGTTAAGTTAAGTTAACTTTTATATGTAATAAACATAAGCTAAGGGTCCAGTGGCGGTTTTAGGGGGCCGGTGAAGATTATGGCCCCTACCCCCGTTATCAACAGCCAGCAACTCTCATTGTAATTTTTCAATATTTAGCCAACATATATTCTTTAATTATCTTTTATACATTTAGACACCGTTTTAAATAGGAAAATTGACAAAAATATTGCGATGAGAAAAAATGGCCGTCAACTGATTTAGGCCACCTTACGAAGAATTTCAAGTTCTTGATCCTTCGCCAAGTTTTTACCTACGCCAAAGCCCTCTGGATCAGCCCTGGTTGGGTTCGAGGTGGTACGGGGATGGTGTATTTAATTGTAGGTACGTATGTTTGTAACTGTACATATGAATGGATGGAATAACTAGATGCGTGATTTTTTCCTGACACATCTGCATTGTATTTGTAACAAGTTCTAGCAACTATGACACAATCATTAATTGCATATGTTTCTCTGCTGTCCCTGGCAACTGCAACACAAACACTTGCACGTAGCCACACAGACACAAACACTTACTCACACATACATAAACATACACATGCACACACGCTCAAATACACATTAACATTATGCAAACTTTTAAAATAAAACCAGAATCTAAAAAATAAATAAAAATATAGTATATATAATATAATATATTATGCAAATAAAAAATATAGAAACGGAAGTTAAAAGTTCATCTTATATTATAGAACGAACAAACGAATGAGTAAATGAATGAAGGAACAAACGAATGATTAAAAATACAAACAAATGAACAAACAAACAAGTGAACGAATGAAGGAACAAACAAACGAACGAACAAACGAACGAATGAATAGAGGGACAAATGTTGATAGATTGATGACGATTGATTGATTGATTAACATTTGACTGAAGGGAATGACAATTGAAACATGAGATCTCATTGATACAATTATGCACATTTATAGTTTTCTCAACCTTCACCATCATCATCACCCCCATCATCATCATCATCATCATCATCGTCTTTTCCAAAACCATTTTAACCATCATCACCATCATCATCATCATAATCAGTATCACCATCATCTTAATATTATCGCTATTTGCATTTCAATCACCGCCATCATCGTCGTCGTCACTGCTGTTTATGTCACCACAGTATAAGGGCTAAAAACATTTTCGTGTAAAAATACACACACGTACACACAGACGTACACACACACACACACACACACGTACACACTCACACATACACACATGCATGGAGTTGAGTAAATCGAATTGGGTCGACGAGTCCTAGAATGAGCAAAAAGTCCTTTCCGTGACAAACATTCCCTGCACATATTCCACAGATGCATACAACTGAACTATCTTTTTTTTCAGTGAGTAACGATGGAAGAACATCCAAGTTTAGCAGCCATACAACAGCGAAGTGAACACAACTGCTCAGTCTGCTGCAATTTTGGTGGCCAGGGTAACTCCGTGCTCTTTACAAAGACGTCCGACAAACATGCCAAAAGCAGCACCAGCATAATTGTCAGTAGTAGTAGCAATGTAGGATATAAATCCGGAAAAATAACAAAATCTATTGAGAGAAATGAGACGCGAGTCGTCCGCCATCACATGGGCCATCGTCCCTAATGAGACTGGGTAGCTCTGATTCAAGACCTGTTTGTTTTCTTCAGATTGATTGTAAGTTCAAATCTCTTAGCTGTTATATGGAAGTGGTTGAACCTCGGCTTGCGTGTGTGCACCGCTGTACACTCATCAGCAAAGGTCGCCAACAATAGAGATATATGTCTTGGACTTCGCTTGCAATAGCCTGATGTTCTAAAGACATGCCCACCCTACCATCCATCCGACTGCAGATTGGTATTCATTCACTACCGTGACAAAAGGCAACTCGGAGCATCAATGAAAAGTAGATTTTGAAACATACATACATATATGAACACACGCATAAATGATTATGTATATATTTATACGTCTGTGTCTGTGCAATTTTGTATGTTCTACATTGTAAGTGTGTTTGTGTATGTACGTGTTGTGTGTGTGTTTGTGTATGTGCGTGTTGTGTGTGTGTGTGTATATGTACGTGTTGTGTGTGTGTGTCTGTGGGCACTTGCGTTTCATACACATGTATTCGATCATTTGAATTGTGAGACCAGTCAATCAAGCCATTAATTTCGTATGTTTCATGAACGTGACATTTGATCTGTGTGTGTCTGTGATTTTGTGTGTTGTCATGTCAATGCATATGCGTTTGTACGTGTGTATTTGTGTTTATATGTGTGTGTGTGTGTGTGTGTGTGTGTGTGTGTGTGTGTGTGCAAACTTCTTAAATGAGTAATGACGATGGTCTCTTTTACTCCTTTACTAATTGGGTTGGGTCATTCATTCAAAATTATTAAAAAAAAACCTTGAATAATAATGGAAAAATCAATGCTAAAACATTTTAAAACATTTTATAAAACAAATATTTTTAATTGAAACTATATCATAATGTATATACAAACTGTTAAAAAAAATACAAAATATACAAAACACCAGCCAGCTGCAACTATACCAAATACAAATCTGGTATAGTTTTATAGTTGTAGTGGGTATTTTACACACACACACACACACACACACACACACACACACACACACACACATGTACGTTTATAAATATCGCATGTCAGTGAAACATGTGTGTGTGTGTATATTATATGTGATTGTAATTAGAAGGTGGTGGGTTGCCTGGCTGATTGACTGCTAATAAAGTTACACATTCACATGCAAATTAATCAACATCAACTTCTTATTTTACACATTACGGTAAGCCCACTATCATTTAGAGAAGCATTTTTGTATTATTACTTATTACACACACACCCACACACGCACATACACACCCACACCCACACACACAAACACACGCACGCACACATAACAATACATACCCACACATCCATCCATACATACTGACAGAGAGTTACACATATATGCACGTTTTAAAAAGAACCAAAATATCTACTCTTCAAAGGAATACTATAAAGTATGTAAACATTTTGATTGAAAACTTCTTACAGATATTTAATATAAGTTTAGTTCAAGTTTAGATTATAGATAGACGCATACAATAGAACATATAAACATACACACACTTACATAAACACGAACTCACATACACTTACACACACACGCACACACACACACACACACACACATATAAATATATATATATATATATATACACATTTACACACACACGCATTCACATGCAAAAAAATACCCACATATCGCTTAATAACAACAACAACAACAAATCAACTACATTGAAAACCAAAAACATATCAGCATAAAAACTTCAACAAAAACTACAATAACAACGGCAATGACATCAGCAACATCAACGTCATGACATCAACAAAAAGACAGCCACAAAAACACATTAAAAACTGCAACAACAACAACAACAACTGCAATAACAACAGCAACAACAGCATCGAGAAAAAAGAAATGACACAAACAACATCAACTTTATGACATCAACAACAACAAAATGACATAATCAACAGTGACAGCAACAACATTAACTACCACAACAACAACAACAACAACATCCACAAAATAATGACGTCACCAACAACGACAACAAAAACATTAGTGAACCCGCACCGAACACTAGCCGACCGACACACGTCACGAAACTTTTTATGCAAAATAACTTTATGTCCGTTCTGTGA